ACAAAAAACACAAAAATAATAACAGCCTAAGGGCTAGGGATTGAGAATACCCCTCCCAAGGATCTAATCAAGGAAAGCCTTCCAATTGAAAATAGTAATTAAAAAAAAGGCTATAATTACAAAAGAATTTGGTGCAATTTGTGCACTACCAAAGACCGTATGTTGAGCAAAAACACAAAAAGTATCAAGGAGGCATATTTATCTTCAAACATCCAACTATTTCTTTCATTCCAAAGATACCCAAGGAAAGATCAAGTTGCACAGCTCCAAAGGATCTTTCCCTTCCAACAAAGCATTTCCCATCAAGCCCATCTAGCAACTAATTGTTAATCTTCTTGGGAAGGCAGCCGACCATCCCAAAGATATTAAACAAAATGGACCACCCTTTAGAAGAAAATTGACAGTGCTGAAACAAGTGATCCAATGATTCCTCCTCCTTAAGGCAAAGGCAGAAAATGGAGGGAGACAAGGACCAATTTTGGAACTTTCTTTGAAGTTTCTCATGAGTATTTAAGCTACCGACCAGTGCATAGTTATCGAATAAAATGTGGGAGACTGGACATTTATACACAAGTTTAAATTGGTCCATAAGATCAAAACTTCAAACCACATCCAACTTTTTCTCATTTAAATAAATTACATAAAAAACACTTCTAATATCCATGATAATAAACAAATAGATCAATAGAAAATAATAATAATAAAACTAACCCTATAATTTCTCCATGGAGCATGCCAAACTGGACGCGGCCACTTGCTTGGAATTCTTTCCATAATTGCAGATGTTGACATCCTATAAGAACAAAAGGCAAACTATTTCAGGTAAAAACCACAAATACTAAAAATGTGAAAAGAAAGAACCAGGCTTAAAAGGTGTCAAAGCAACAAGAAAAAAAAAGAGCCGGGTTAAAAGTCAATACTGTGAGAATGCACCAGGAATTTGTGGAATAAATTTAGGCAAGTCAAATAATCATTCGTAGTATGAAATGTACTACGTCTCCAAAAAAAACTTACGAGCATGTACTATAAAATCAAGCACTGAAGAGCTTTTTACATGTCATGCTTGAAGATTTTTAATTATATGGGTCCTCAAAATACCAGATTAATATCAATCTAGTTAGAACTATGACAAACCACTCCGAATCAACTAAATTGCACATATTCAGTCAACCATGGCCCCTAACCCCTGAAACGCAGGGAAGGAAGGAAGTGAAGATCAAAACTCCAGCTATAGCCAATCTATATAGTTAAATTTCATACATTATAAAAACTGCATATAATTCCAGCATCACTAACATATCACTTGGGTTTTAAAAAAATTACAAAAATTTAAAAACCTTTCAGATGAACCAGATGCAGAAATGATAGCTGAGCTTCTTCCCTGGAGGCCACCATCGTTTCTGGAAATAAAAGGTAGATCAAAAGATTAGCACCAAATCAACCAAACAGGAAACAATAAACTCGTGCAAAAGGAACGAAAACATCAATATATTTTTTTCACAAAAATAAATATTCTTGATGAACAGATAAACATGGAGAAAGAAAGTGATAGCCAGTACTCACTGTGCATTCGGTTGTACAGTTGGACCAATGACCAGTGCATTTTGTGCTACAGACTTTGCATCTCCAGAACTACCCGGACCTGAATTACAGAGAAATCCACCCAACTCAATAACCAAATTCTTTGTAATAATCGTTAGAAATATCAACAGGTACACGGTCTTCTAAATTTTTAAAGAATTGATGATAGTTAGATAGTTAGAGGTAGATTTGTAGTTAGTAACTAAGCTGTCAACCTGCTATCTCTGCTAGTAGTTAGGATCTCGGTGTGCGTCTGTCTGCACGTGTTTATCAGCCCTTTGTACTTAGGGTTTAGAATAACTGAATCAGATCTTAATTCATATAGAATTTCAGTCCCGTCAAACCTATTACAGAGAAAACCCAACCCTGACCTACACACTAACTCGGCCATCAAAGTTCAGTACAGATAAAATTACAGATAATTAGCCTATTTAAGGACATAAAATTACGGGCTAGGTATACCAGTAAGCGCGAGGGCATTGGAAGGCGCTGACGTTTCAAGGGCGCTATCGGGGGTGGAACTTGCTTGGCCAGTAGACTTAGCTCCGGTGTTCTTTAATCCTCCGTACTCAACACTTATCTATGAATTGAAAAACAGAGCATAAAGATAATCTCCATTGCAGCTTGAAAGAACAGCGGAGTATTCCAACCACTGTTCGCAATCAGTGGCTAATATAATGTAAGAAAGAAATTAACTAACCTTATGACTGATGCGAATTTTTTTGCTGCATTTAGAAAAGAAACGAAGAAAACACACAGGTCATTCCGCTAGAAATTATAGGCTTTAAACCAACACACATAAGCATCTAAAGAAGAAAAAATCAAACAAAACAGAACACACGCACGCACGCACACAAAATGAACTTTTACAGTTAACTTACAAAACTAAGCAGCGGAGAATCGAGCTAAAACAATTAGCAACCGTACCTCTCGAGATCGGGAGGAGCGACATGGCCGTGGACCGGAGAGAAAAGGTCTAGAGCTCTTTTGAGAGATTTGAAGCTAAGCTTCTTCAATGACTGTGGTTCTACTGGCTCCATCTCTAAGGCGGGGCCTGGCATCTTCTTCGCCGTCTCCGTCCTGAAAACAGTCAGTTCTTAACAAAGCTCCGATTCCAATGTGCACCCCTTCGGAGCTGAAGCAGCAGGAGATGTCTGCTCGGCTTCGAGGACAAATGGCGCCTAAACTGGTGCTGCGAACCCTGAGCCTATGGTGGATTCTGCTAACACTGATCTCCAGCCTAATTGGGCCGAAAACTAAGCCCACCACAATATTTTCCTGACCGCACCCATCTTATTTGGGCCAGCCCGTAAGTTCCTCCGTACAATTTTGGGCCCGATTAATATTCTTTGGAGGCCCAATTTTCGGCCCATCTTTATTCGTGAATTTATTTTTTAAGTATTTAAAATAGCTTATTGAGTAATTTTAGCCTAACAAATTTGTTTTTTTAAACCTTCATAAATAATTATCTAAAAATTTGGATTAATTTTAAAAAATTAACCAAAAAAACACTTAAAAAGACAGAGTTATAAAAAAGAATAATTTAATCGATTAATAATTAAAAATAGATTTGTAATTTATATAGTCATTTTTTAATATAGGCAATAAACAAATCTAGCATTAAAATGTTTTTAAAAAATGCAATATAAAAATATCCTTAAAAATTTTTTTAATATTTTTAAAAAGTTGAATGATATTAATGAACAAATTGTATTTGTTTATATAAAAAAAACACAAATTTTTAATGTTTTGAAGTTTTAAAATTTTAAAAAATGTGAGAATATTTTTGTTTAAAAGATATTTTTATTATTTAATGTAAAATATATATAATACATCAGATAGAGTTCTTATTATTTCTCAAGTTGAAAATTTTAAATTTTTACTGATTTTACACGAATTATTTACCAAATAAAATATTATTAGAGAAATTAATTTTTATTTATAAACTTATTAAATTCTATCCATTTCATTATATATTAATAAATTATATTCAAATATAAATAATAATTGAAAAATATTATTGATTAATTCATCATTGTTATAAGTTTGTATAACTATTATTATACACTTAAACTATATTATATTTAATATAATTCACAAAAATGAATTTAGTTTACCACGTAAAATAATAATTTTATTAATTTTTTAAAATACAATACTACGTTTATTAATGTTTTATAATAATAAATAGTTTAGACAAGAACTCTACTATAAACCAACGGCATAAATAAAAATAATAATATTAATGAATTTTTTAATATCACACGTGGAGTGGTTTGGACTTTGGAGAGCGTGGTCCCGTATAATAAATTGGATTTAAAATTGAACCAATGAAAAATGAACACGTAGGCATTTTTTTATGGGATGCGCGGCAGAAATGTGCGGTTATTTAATTATTTCCGATTTGGCTTTGGTCGACTTCTTCTTTAAGAAAAATAAAACACTTGCTTTGACCAAGTCAAGATCAGAAACCTATTTTTATTTAATGTGTTTTTTTTTATTATATTTTAGATGGTTTGGTATGTGTAATTCAAAAAATGTAATTTTAGTTTAATAAATTACCAGCTAAAATAGTAATTTTAAAAAACTATTAGTTATCCTCAACCAAAACTGAGCTTCCGATTTGAACGAACATGAAATTTGGATTTGAAAAATTTAAATAGAGGTCGAGAAGCACTTTGTGAAACAGCAACTTGGAGATATGAAGGTACATATTGTGTGCGAAGTTTATCATCGATAATAAGTTGTTGAAGGAAATGATAATCTAATTTAACATGTTTGCCCTACATGTGAGAAACGAGATTAGAGCTCAGAAAAACTAGTGGAAGAGCTAGTAAGGGGAGAGAAAGATATAGAGATACTAACTCAACAAAGAGACTCATAACCTAAATCAGGTCCAACATGAGGCAATGAATTTACGACACACGATTAAGATAATCACTCGTGATAAAGTCGAAAAGAAGCTACAACGTCTGAGTCGAGCATGGCTGAGAACGAGAGAAATAAAGAGTTGGTATTTCAAATGAGTTTTTGTCGAAAAGCTCCAAATGAAGTTTCACTAGATTTTTAAAGGAATTGCAAGTCAAAAATAGTTTAAAAACATTTATAAAAGGTAAATGACAATTCTTCCGCTTTTAAAATAAAATATTAATTAAAAATAAAAAATATATTTACATTTTTACCCTTGAATTTTTACTAATGTCTACTTTTAACCCTATGCATTAATTAATTTAATTAGTTTTCATTAATTGTCGTTTAATATTAAAATTAATTTAAAAAAAAGACGCATTAAATTGTAAAAATTATTTTATTAATAACAAATATAATATTTAAAAAGAAAAAAAAAATAGTGAAAAGGGTCAGTATTCCACGTGCTACCGTGAAATCTCTGGAATTCGTTTGCAGTTTCATCCCCACATTTCTCCCTTACTTCAATGCATTTTTCACTTTTCTTTTACTCCGTCTGAAACTTTTCATTTGTCTTCTTCTTCTTCTTCTTCATCATCCATTCATCTCTGCCACTCTCTGCAACTTCCCATTGAGACGTTACACCTGCTTCTATTCCATTAACTATGATGAGGATCGACGCCATCAAAGCTCCGCTTCCTGCAGGCGGCGGCGGAAAGGTCGGTGTTGGCCTCGATGACGACATGGCTGACGGAATGCAATGTATGGACCATCCTTACCGGAGCAATCCTGGTGGAATCTGCGCCTTCTGTCTTCAAGAGAAGCTTGGAAAGCTGGTTTCGTCTTCTCTCCCGCTACCTATTCGAGGTTTGTCTTCTTCTCCTTCTTCTCCGTCGGTTGGATCTGAGAGTAATGTTATTGCCGTCGTTGGCGGCGGCGGTGGTGGTGCTCCGTCGAATGCGATTTCGATAGGCGGCTCTGCTACGAGAAGTGTTGATTTCAAAGTTAATAGGGTTGATTGTCATTATAATGATACGAGGCGGGCCCGGATCCCTTTTTTGTTGACTAAAAAGAAGAAGAAATTGGTTACCGCTGGGGCTGAGTGTAATCGAATGAACGACGTCGTTTTCAAGAGGAGCAAGTCTACGACGGCGCCGAGGAGAGGGCAGTTTCTTGTAGATGGTGACGGCGGCGATTTTAGCCCTAGGAAGAGAGGGGGGTTTTGGTCATTTATCTACCACCACGCGCCGTCGTCATCCAAAACTCTTGCGGCGAGGGAAGTGGAGAATAGCAACAAGGGCAATGGCGGTAATCTGGCGGCAAACGGCGCCATTTTAGAGGAAGACGAGAGTCCTAACAGCCATACGACGTCGTTTGAACGGAAGGTTTCGAGATCCAGATCCGTCGGGTGCGGCAGCCGGAGCTTTTCCGGCGATTTTTTCGAGAGAATCTCTACTGGTTTCGGAGACTGCACGCTCCGTCGAGTCGAGTCTCAGAGAGAAAGCAAGTCGTCGAAGGGCTCCACAGTTGGAAACCCTAGCCACCGTAACGCCGCCGGTGTCGACCACCACTGTATCAAAGAAAGAGTAAAATGCGGCGGTTTATTCAGTGGATTCATGATGACTTCTTCCTCCTCCTCTTCATCTTCCTCCTCTTACTTCGTTTCATCCTCCGCCCACGAGCTCAGCCGTAAAACAACTCCGGCAAGAGCAGCGGCCGCTGGGCCGATCGTAAGCGGCGGCCGGAGCAGGACCTGGGCGTGGGCATTTGCAAGTCCGATGAGAGCTTTCAAGCCATCAAATTCAAAGGATCGAAAACGGTCAATAATCAGACAAGCAGCAGAAAACAATCCAACACCGGATTTGAACGCCATTCCTTCATTGTTAGCCGTGAGAAGCTGAAATGAAAACATTCACCGCTTCTCTGTTACTCTTTTTCCCGGTGAGTACAACAGTCAAAATCAAATCACATCGCCATTTTTTCCGATCAAAACACCCATTTCTACAGTGATTTCAACTAACATTATTCTGTACCATTAATTAATCACTTTCTCCAATGCAGTTTGATGAGTGGCTGAAGATCCACGGGAATCATAAGGCGCCTTACCAAAAACCAGGTGCGTTTAGTTTAAAGCACAGTGGATTTCCCCACTTCTCACAGTACAAACTTAAAAGATAAAACAAAGAGATGAAAATTTGGATCGAATGAAAACATATAATGAAATTTGCTTTGTCTATTTTGCCTATGTAATATCAAATTTGTAACTTGTCAATTCTGAATGTAACGTTTTCTGTTTATTTTCTATTTTTCATGAATAAAGAACAGTAGAATTTCCCAAATAATCACATGTGGGCACTTGCATGATAATGGAATAGACAGCAAATATGTTTGATTCCCCGCATCTATTTATAATCAAATAAATTACAAAGATATGGAAATAGTTATATATGATAATAAGTCAAATATTAGATATTTGCTTTATAATAAAATATTAAATAAAATATATATAGTAAATTATAATTTATTACTAAATATCCTTAACAAATTCAAATATAAATGGACAACCAACCAAAAAAAAAAAACCCATTTTGTCACAACTTCGTGTTTATTTATATATATATAAATATAAATATATATATATATAAAAACACATCAATTTTTTCCAAAATTATTATTGACATTTGGGGTTATTTTTTTAAATAAAGGGAAAATGAAGGAGTGTTTTGTAATTTAGCCAAAATTCATGGGCTAAATAATATGCCCTCTAGTTCTAGCATGACTGTGAGGAAAAGAGAAGGTGACAGACATGGAAGGATAGCTGGTTCTTATACGGAGCTACAGGGTGGGGGTGGGGGTCAGATTTCAGAATATAGGATAGCTCTTAGCTGTGACTCTAGCAACTTATTTCACAGAGGGGCAGAAGTGGGAAATTATGGGGATTGGGGGGGTTGCATGGAAATGGAAAAGAAGTGGAGGGACTGGAAAGCAAATAAGGAAAAGGGAAATGTCAGAAGGGGGAGGGGGTTGCATGGAAATAGAAAAGAAGTGGAGGGACTGAAAAGCAAATAAGGAAAAGGGAAATGTCAGAAGGGGGGGTACAAAGTGGGGAAATTATGGGGATTGGGGAGGGTTGCATGGAAAAAGATAAGGAATGGAGGGACTGAAAAGCAAATAAGAAAAAGGGGGAAATGTCAGAGGGATTGGGGAGGAGGGGGGTTGCATGGAAATAGAAAGAAGTGGAGGGACTGAAAAGCAAATAAGGAAAAGGGGAAATGTCAGAAAGGGAAGGGGGAGGGAGGGGGTAGTAGGGCTATTATTGCAATCAGAGGAGTTGAGGATGGAGACATGACTGAGTTGAGAGAAAGAAAACAAACTAAACAAAGCTGCTGTGAAAAATATGAATTGCGAACTCCATAATTTAATGCTGGGAATGTCATTCATTTGTCATTTGGGTGTGGGTGCTCTACTTTTATTTTTTCACCTTTTTCATTATTATATATATATATATATGCTAACTCTATTGTTTTTCAAACAAAATAATAATGATAATAATAATAAATCCTACCTGAATTTAATTTGAGATCTTCAATCAAATCTATCTCGATTTAATCCAATTGATTATGATTCCGACAAGTTATGTAATTTTTTCTTTTTAAGGATTTTTTTTATTAAGTTAAATTTGTTGGATAATGAAAGGCTAACTTCAAGAGTTCCATATGGGCTAATTTAGGAAATGATCACATATTTATAATCAAATAATGCTCTCTTCATGGTTATGAGGTCTTTTGGAAAGCCCAAAACAAAGCCATGAGAGCTTATGACTCTCCATTGGTATAGATAGCCCTTTCGGGAAAACACAATATAAAGCCATGAGAGCTTATGACTCTCTATTGGTATAGCCCTTTCGAGGAAACACAATATAAAGCCATGAGAGCTTATGACTCTCTATTGATATAGCCCTTTTGGGGAAACACAATATAAAATCATGAGAACTTGACTCAAAATGGATAATATCATAACATCCATTGTTGGAGACTGGACAATAAAGACAATGTCGTATCATTGTATTCAATTTCTTGGGAATTTTAAAAAATTAAAATATAAAACCATCAGGACCTTTGAAATTCAAATTTAAAAACATCTAATAAGAGAGGACCACAACTTTCTGCCCAAAAAAGGAAACAAAAAATAAGGAAAAGAAAAAACAAATAAATTAAGCCGTGCTAACATGCGCATCCACGACATTAAGACAAATAAAGAACTTTCAAAAGAATTCAAAGACAAAAAACATAAATTTCTTTTTTCTTTTTAATTGATTACTATTGATATGAAGAAGTTTGATTCATACCTGTTTGTCATTCTAAGGGCCCCTTAATTAGGAGTTCCTCACATACACTGTATAAACCCAAAGCAAGTACTATTGGGCATTTATGATTTTATTCATCGAAAAGCTCTTACGTTCCATAAATCTTCTTGTAAACGAGATTTTGAGACACTCAAGGGAGAACTATGCAAAATGTGATACAACAAATAGTCAATTTCAATATAATTCAATTGGTTATGACACATGCTCTTAATCAAAAGGTTAGTAGTCTACCCACTAAGAAAAATGTAAAGAATAAATTTTTCGATTGTCTTATATGCTATCGTGAGAACTACCATTGATATTTGATACTATATAACCCTATAACACATGTCAATGCACATGGACATAAAGGAAGTTCGTGTTTATCAAATATATTTGAGGACACTTTTTATTCTAAATGAGTGGTTAGTTCCTTGTACAGGTAGAGTTCTAACTGATTAAGTAATAATCGATATTTGATTTAATAGTTGGCATGATTAGTTGAGAGTGTTTTTAATGAATAAAATTGTATTTTTAATTAGTTAAATGTTGATGGTTGATTTCAATCTAGAAGCACTTTTGAGTTGGGTGTTTGGTAAAGAAGTATTTGATTGACGTGTTAACCATTGCTTGAGCTTAAGCTTCATTCTTGATCCATAAATCTGCCTATGTCAATGATAATTGACATGTATTATCTTTATTGAGACCTATTGTGAGATCCTATATCGATTAGAGAAGAGAACGAAGCACTGGACTTCAGAAGGGGTGGGTTGTGAAATCCCACATCAATTAGAGGGGAGAATGAATGATTCTTTATAAGAGTGTGAAAACCGTCTCCTTAGCATGTGCGTTTTAAAAACCTTGAGGGGAAGCTCGAAAGAAAAGTCTAAAGAGCATCGGTTGGAGAGTAGAACAAAACATTTTTTATAAAGGGTATGGAAACTCTCCCTAGAAGACACGCTTTAAAAACCTTGAGAGGAAGCTCGAAAGGAAAGCCCAAAAATGATGATATCTACTAGCAATGGATTCGGGCAAGTTCAAATCTCCATATCTTCATTCATCGTCTTCAAACAAAAAAATAAATTCTCTAACACGTATCTCTCTTCACACATTCGTTTACTACCTTCTCTCTACACACTCACTGGCTTCTCTATGTAATTTCTCACCAACTGCTCTCTTTCTACACCATCTCACAATGCAAACAATCTCTCTACCAATCTATGTTTAAACACTTTCTTTCACTATTTTTCTTTTTTTCATTTTTCATAACTTTTTTATAATTGTCATTATTTCCATTTATAGATTCGTCGTGTTAGAATATAAAAGATATGTCATTTAGGGCTGAGTAGTGGTTAAGATAACTCACCAAGGTTGCCACCCTGAGCCAGCTCTTTCAGCCAAGTAAGCACAAGGCTTAAAGAATCCACCATACAGTTTTGACCATTCCTCCAATCTTGAATAGACGTATTTTGATCCAAGAGAATCAGCCCAAAACATAACTCCTCCCCTATGGTCAATAGTAATTCATTAAGGTCTATTAAATTAACTGAGAATATTGCTGAAACTTGCATCAATTCAATTTAATAATTTAATGTATATAGAAACAACAATCAATGGAAATAGCAATAAATGAATTTAAGATTTTGCTTATAATAAAAGGTAAAATATTATATTATGGTAAATCGTAATATTTACCAATAATAAAAGATCAAATATATAGTTAAATGGATAAATATTCTTAGCAAAAAACAAGTTTCACCAACCTGTTAGGTGGAAAACCCATGCCCATTACACCAGCAATGTCCAAGTCTGCTGCTTTCACTGCTATACCTTCGGCGAGTACGCGGCACGCTTCATTCACCAGAGGGAAGAATATCATCTCGATGAGGTCCTTCTCTGATAACTTTGCCAGCTGCACTCATACGATCACACAAAAGGATGTGCAAGAGTTCAACATTAAATCGTTACATAGAGCTTTCTAATGGCTGAAGTAAACACTTTTCATGTGTAATTTTGGTATGTATATCAAGCAAACTACACACAAACAGAGAAAGAGAGAGAGCGAGACCTTAGGGTCTACAGAAATGCCAGACATGCTCCTAGCCTTTTCAATATACTTCTTTAACTCCGGATCTGGCTTAGACTTGCGGTTCTTGTCATAGACATAAAAACCTTTCTGAGTTGTTTCACCTGAAATTTATACCACGACCAAGTTACTTTTTAATGAAGTGTCCATGTCTAAAGGAACATGATTCCATAAGACCCCAATCATCAACGTTAGTCAGCCCTCTCGAATAGACTGAGAGCAGTAATGGTAGGCTGCTTTTGGCAACCTTGCCATACTTCCAGTTAAATGAAGATACCTAACAGAATCATTAATAAAATATCTTTGGGAAGTGCAAAGTTCGAACACAATTCTTTATGGGAAACATTCGCACTCTTTATGAATACCAATCGAAAAGAGATTACAAGAGACTCGGTAGAAACTCACTCTGCTTTATATTTCTTTGGGAATAAAAACATTGGTAGGTTAGAGGGGTATTTATAGCCGAATCTAGACAATTTATTTCTAAAATGCCTAAATAATTTTTCTAAAATAATTAGGTACTTTATTTCTAAAGTACCTATATCAATACATAGACAATTAGCTCATATGATTATTGGGCTAGTGATGATATTTTAACATGCAATGCCAGCGAATCTTAGATGCAAGCGTCCAAGTTTAAGGGGTGAAACTCTACCTGCTCTCTTATCCTCTTGCATAAGAGGAATTATCATAGATTTGATGGTTCTATCAGGAAAATTCTGAACAAACTGAACACCGGTTGCTATAGCCACAACCAAAACCAACAAGATCAATCAATCTAAAGGAAAAGAACCGAAGTTAGTTGAAGGTAGAAAATAAAAAAGCATGGAGTTGAACCACAAAATTCTTTTATGTATTATAAACCTGAAG